CACAGTTGAACTTGGTAACTATTTTTGGTGAAGGAAGTATGCACATTTCTTTGTAGCACTTAGTTTTGTTGCTTTGTTTTTCTGCTTTATTAACATGCAGGCAAGGGGAAAATGTTTATTTTTCTTAAAGGGAGTTTAAGCAGTAGGCATGTTGTTTTTTTGTTTGTTTGTTTGAGACAGAGTCTCACTCTGTTGCCCCGGCTAGAGTGCCGTGGTGTCAGCCTAGGTCACAGCAACCTCAAACTTCTGGGCTCAAGTGATCTTCCTGCCTCAGCCTCCCGAGTAGCTGGGACTACAGGCATGCACCACCATGCCCAGCTAATTTTTTCTATATATATATTAGTTGGCCAATTAATTTCTTTCTATTTATAGTAGAGACAGGGTCTCGCTCTTGCTCTGGCTGGTCTCGAACTCCTGAGCTCAAATGATCCTCCCGTCTCAGCCTGCCAGAGTGCTAGGATTACAGGCATGAGCCACCATGCCCGGCCAGTAGGCATGTTTTTTTTTTTTTTTTTGAGACAGAGTCTCGCTTTGTTGCCCAGGCTAGAGTGAGTGCCGTGGCGTCAGCCTAGCTCACAGCAACCTCAAGCGATCCTTCTGCCTCAGCCTCCCTGGTAGCTGGGACTACAGGCATGCACCACCATGCCCAGCTAATTTTTTCTATATATATATTAGTTGGCCAATTAATTTCTTTCTATTTATAGTAGAGACGGGGTCTCGCTCTTGCTCAGGCTGGTTTTGAACTCCTGACCTTGAGCAATCCGCCCGCCTTGGCCTCCCAAGAGCTAGGATTACAGGCGTGAGCCACAGCGCCCGGCCAAGTAGGCATGTTTTTAATGTATTTCTTACTTTAATACCAGTTGGTTTTTCAGAAATGTGTCTCATCAAAATGGAAGCACCAAGACTGTTAGATACTACAAGATAAAATGTGAGTTTTAAGCAAGTTATTGATCTGCTTTTACTTAGGTGCATGTATGTTATGTGCCTTCCAGTCCTTGAGTGTTTGGTTAAAAGTTCCTAATTTTTTTTAAACCTTTGGCAGCAGTTCAGATAGCTGTCCTCGTTCCTAAGCATGGCAGTACTCTTGAGTTTGGTATCATTCGCTCTGTCGTCTTTGTTCACATTGTTTTTACTCGTTTTAAAAATATGTTTCCAGAATTATACTTAATTGCTGGAAACGTTAATTTTTCTTGAGTGACAAACCAATTAAGTGTGTATGACACCAGGCAACAAAGACACTTAAGATTCTGTGCTTATCCTGTCTCTGAAAAAAATCCATTATTCATCATCTTAACTGTTTTTAAATACTGAGGTAAAATTTTCAGTACAATAGGAAATTGCTTTGGAAATGGAATAAATTGCTCACCAGTTCAAAGGCTCCATTTCTGAAGTCAGATTACTAAACATGATGTTACTTAAATTCATTTTCCTTCAAAACTCATTGTACTACTTTTCCACCAGTAAACTTGGTAAGATTGTGACTTTTGCTAAAATTCAACACAGTCACCAAAAGAACTTAATGAAAAAGACCAAAATCACATTTTGTATATTACATTTAGGTGGTGTTTTGAATTTTAATTGCATTTTGTATAAATATTCATTTTCTAGTTGACTGTTTTAAAAGAAGTGATCTTATACAGAGAAGTAAGAAAAAAGGACTTTTCAAGGGGAAAAATTTGTTTTAGGCCTGTTCCTTCACAGATCATGTAATTTTTTGCCTAAAGCATTTAAAATGTAACTTGCATATTGGAGTTCTGTGATGGTGTCAGAGTTGTCTGTAGGGGGCTGTATGGAGACACTAAAATGAGTATCATTTTGATTGATGGGATAGGGTGTTCAAAAGAGGGGTGAAAATAAGTGAGTGTTAAGAATTTTTCCATTTGATAAGCAAGACATGTTCTCTTTTTGTTTGTGCCTATTTTAAAAGTCCTTTTCAAAAATAAAAATTATTCCCATGTTTAAAACCTAAGTCAAACTCCCTCCTGTTTAAATGTTGCTGTGTCCCCTGTCCCTGCCCCCTCCTGGCTTCATTTGGTGTCCTCTCTGTGCTGGCAGTGTCCTGCCCACGGTCTCTCCTGGCTCCTCCAGACTGCCTGTGCCCGTCAGCCAGACCTTCTAGACCAGGCGTCCTCAAACTACAGCCCGCAGGCCACATGCAGGTGTATTTGCCCATTTGTTTTTTTACTTCAAAATAAGATATATGCAGTGTGCATAGGAATTTGTTCATAGGTTTTTTAAAACTATAGTCTGGCCCTCTAACAGTCTGAGGGACAGTGAACTGGCCCCCTGTTTAAAAAGTTGGATGACTCTGTCATAGACCTTCCAAGGTTGGCTGCTTTTCTTCCAGGTGTCTCTTCTTGAGACCTGGCTCCCTGATGATCTAAGGAAGACCCCTCCTTCACTTCCAGGCTGATCACCCTGCTCCTTTCTCTTCCTGAACTTCTCCCTTTGTCAACACTCTGTGCTGCTGGTCTTTGTCCTGAGTGCGTGGCCTCACGCCCGGGCAGGGCCTTGCGTGCTCGCGCACCACTGTGTGCTCAGTGCTCCGGAAGGTGCCTGGCGCAGGTGAGGCACTCGTGTTTCCTGGAAGAGTGCGGTGGGTGTTTCTAGTGGGATTCAGCATAGTTTTGTAAGCAGAGTTGTGTTTCTTTGTGAATGTTTTTAGCTCATCTGTCATTTAGAGTGTTTGCTTTTTTATTGATTCATAAGAACTATTTATAAAGAATTATTAATAGTTTCTCTGTAATATGCTGCACATATTTCCCCAATGTCTTATTTGGTTTAAAGTCATCTTCAGTGATGTAGAGTACAGACATCCAAAGTACCTGGCCTAGTGCCTGTCCCTAGTAAGTGCTCATTATGTTTTGGTTAGCTGTTATCATCACTCTGGTGCATTCCAATGACCTCTTAGCTGAGGAAGCCCTCAGGAGTTCTTTTTCTGTTTCTTGGCCTTAGTGACAAACTTATTCCTCAAGTGATTGACACCATGCATGGACTTGCCCCTTTTGCTCAGACTTTTCTAGGATAAGCATCTCTTAGTGCATGATATTAACCACCACAGCCGTAGGAGGGCGAAAGAGTGCGTGCAGAACACCAGTGTAGACATTAGCCAGGCTGCTGACAATGAGGTCAGTGATGGGTGGAGCAGAGTCCTTTGTTTTAAAAAATTGTGTTAAAATATACAGTACATAACATAAAAGTTACCATTTTAACCATTTTTAAATGCACAATTTAGTGGCATTAAATTCATTCACATTGTTGTGTAGCCATCACTACTATCCATTTCCAGAACTTTCCATCTTCCTAAACTGAAACTCTGTACCCATTAAGCACTAACTCCCCATTATCTACTTCCCCCAGCCCTGGGTAACCACTTTTTTTGCTTCCTGTCTCTGAATTTGACTATTCTAGCACCTTATATAAGTGGAATCATATAATATTTGTCTTTTCTGTGTCCGTCTTATTTCACTAAACGTACTGTTTTCAAGGGTCATGTTGTAAGGGTCAGAATTTCTTTCCTTTTAAGGCTGAATGGTGTTCTGTTGGATTATCACATTTTGCTATTCATTCATCTGTCTGTGGACATTTGAGCTTTTATTTTTTAAAATAAAAATTTCCTATATTAATTGTCTTAATTAATTGTCTTAAACTAGAAATTAAATGGATATAAATGAAGTGCTTAAGCTAATGCCTGATACAGTCTTAGCCTTCAGGAAATGTTTGCTGTGGGCTCCTCCTCCTCTACCATATCACCTTCAGCCTCTTAGCAGGGGAGCTCTTAACCAGCAAGGAGACTGAGGTGGCTGCATGCTTGGCATGCTTGTTGCTGTTGTCGTGGCTTCGGTTAGCTTGCTCTCCACTGTGTCCTCTTGGCTCTATTTCTCTTTTACCCTTTTTCCCAGAGATGAACTTTTCTTGTTCTCTGGGTCAGGGGAGGGGCAATTGCCTATTTGGTGGAGTGGGAGGCAGTCTAAGGATGTATATTTTTGAGACAGAGTCTCACTCTGTTGCCTGGGGTAGAGTGCAGTGGCGTCATCCTAGCTCACTGCAACCTCAAACTCCTGGGCTCCAGTGATCATCCTGCCTCAGCCTCCCAAGTGGCTGGGACTACAGGCGCTCACCATAATACCTGGCTAATTTTTGTATTTTCAGTAGAGATGGGATTGGGGTCTTGCACTTGCTCAGGCTGGTGTGGAACTCCTGGCCTTAAGCCATTCTTCTGCCTCAGCCTCCCAAAGTGCTGGGATTACAGGCATGAGTAAATGCACCTGGCCTAGTTGTTTCTTAAGTACCTTTCAGTCATTTCTTATTCATTTACTTTTTTTTAGCCACAGAGTCTTGCTCTGTTGCCTTGGCTAGAGTGCAGTGACATCATCACAGCTCACTGCAAACTCAAACTCCTGGGCTCCAGCAATCCTGTGCCTTAGCCTCTAGAGTGGCTGGGATTACAGGCATGTGCCACACCTGGCTAATTTTTCTATTTTTGGTAAAGATAGGGTCTGTTCTTACCCAGGCTGGTCTGAAACTCCTCAGCTCAAGTGATCCAGAGTGCTGGGATTACAGGTGTGAGCCACTGTGCATGGCCCAATTCTTATTTTAATATCCCTTCATACCCACTTTTAAAAGAGGTACTGTGTGCTGCTGGCTCCTGAGCCCTCGGAGGATTCTGTGGGCACATCAGTCCGGGTCTCGGGGCTCTTCACTATTCCCTTCAGGCTCCGTTTTCTTGGATCTGCTTAGTTACTCACCTCCATCCACCCAGTTGCTTTCCCACTTCCTATAGTTTGCTGTTATCTTCTCTCTGTTTTCCTTTCTTATTGGTTTCAGCTTTAAAAACCAAATATTTTCTTTAGTCCAGAAAGTAGCTCGTTTATTAGTATTCAGTCTCCTTCTCATTTAATCTCATTGTCATCTCTCAGAAACTGGCTCTCCTGCTCTCTGTGTAGTGGTGCAGGCCTCCAGCAATCCTTCAGGACTGGACAGCTCCTCTTAGCCAAGGGCCTCTGCCTCCTTGTCCTCAACTCCAGTTTTGGAATTCTTGTGAAGGACTCTAGCTCCACTTGCTTGGTTCGGGTGCCTGTCCCTGACCAACCAAGGCAGGATTTGATCTCTCTGTGGAAGAACATGGCTGTCCCTCCGGGGTGATGTGGGGATGAAGAGCCTGAAGAAAGAGGAGCTGGTCCAGCAAAGTAACAGGTATGCTCTGGGTACCTAAATTACCTTTCAGTGCAGAAGTCTCCAGCTGTTGCCTGACCTCAGAGTGCTAAGCCTGTTTATTTCAGCTGCCTACTTCATGTCTCAAAGACACCTCAGGCTGAATAGGAAAACGTCCAAACCAAATCTCCTCCCTCTCTGCTGATGCCTGCTGCCCTCCACTGTTATCTGTCTTCATGTGCAAACCAGGAGTCTTCAGGCCGCTCTGTCCTTCCGAGCATGCAGCCAGGCCATCACCTGTTCATCCATCTGGCCTGTGGGTAGATCCAAGTGCATCCCCTTCTCCTTGCTTCACTTCTCCCCAGTCCACCAGGCCTCTCCCTGGCCTGAACCCCCCAGGCCTCTGTGGGCCTCTTTGCCTTAGTGTCAACTCATGTGGCTCTCCAGCATGGCCAAGGGGTAGAGTACACCTGATGATTGTCTCTTGCATAGAGCCGTTGTCCGGAGGGTGCAGACACAGCCTTCACTGCCAGGTTTGTGCACCCCTATTCCCACCCAGTCCTTCCCCTTGCTTGGAGGCAGCTGTGCATTTTGCCTCGTTAAACCCCCTTCTCTTGAGTTGTGCCTTACACGTCAAATCTCCGTTGTTCCCCTGATTACACAGTCTTGTAATACTAGGTGACTCCCCGTCTCATCAGCTGTCACTGCTGTCATTTTTATCACTCATCAATAACTCTGCCCCTAGAGTTAAGGCTGTGTCTCTTACTGCTGACCATCAGTGTTAGGCACACACTTGGTGCTCAGCAAATGCTTGACAAAGGAATGCCTTTTTGAGCATTTGTTCATGTTCCTGTGATGATTTTGACAGGTGATCTTCCTTGTGGCCTTTGGCGTAACACACTCTGTGTTCTAGTACTTTTGGAGGTTCTGTGGTTTCTATTTCTAATATTTAATTACCCCAGGAGGTGGAGAGATCTTTTGGTCGTTAGTGTTTGCTAAAGATCCACTCACTGTCTAGTTAGGCTTACTCTTCTGCCTTTTAACTCAAGGGCAAGTTGTGTCTGTGTGTCGCAAGTACAGTCACTTAACGAGGGGCACTCTGAGAAATGCATTGTTAGGTGATTTTGTTGTGCAAATATCAGAGTGCACTTACACAACCTAGGTGGCATGGCCTACTACACACCTAGGCTATATGGTATGGCTATTGCTCCTAGGCTGCAAACCTGCACTGCAGGTTACTGTATCGAGTACTGTAGGCAGTCATAACACAATGATATTTGTGCATCTAAACATAGAAAAGGAGATGCGTACCACGTCATGGTGGCTATCAAGTCACTAGGCTATAGAAATATTTCAGCTCTGTTATAATTTTACGGGACCACTGTTGTATGTATGGTCCATTGTTGGTGGGCACCTAGTTATGTGGTTTGCGACTATATTTAGTGGGCATTTGTCCTGTGGGACTTTGCTAAAGCTGAGTGCCAGTTCTCTACGCCTGGCTCTGTGCCCAGCTGGCCCAGGGCATGGCGATGCCAGTTCTCTGTGCCTGACTTGGCCTGAAGCTGAGCTGCCCTTCTCTTGAAACAGTGTGTACTTCTGCCTCATTAGCTGGAGGTCTGAATAGAAGAATTAATAGGGATGAAAGTACACTAGGTGATAATCAGGAACATTGTTCCATTGCCTGTGACATGAGTCCACGTAGCCATTGTGTACCTGTGTAAGTTATTCCCCTGTCTGTTGTGCCTTTTGGCCTGTGGGTCATGTACATAGTTTTCATGATATGCTTGTCTCTGTGAGTCTTCCAGGCAGTAAGAACTACATGACCCACTTCTTGTAGACTCACTATAGATGCCTGCTTAACAAGAAAAAAGAAGTCATCTTCCATAATACTGATCTGTCTCTAAATTGCGCTTTTGCAGAGTACGTTAGAACTGCCTGCTTATGTGTTTGATTTCTCATCTTTTGTTTCTGAAGAACTCCACTCACCACCAAGCCTTTGAAGGGCTACATCCTTCTTCTCTGGCGGGCTCCGGTCCGGACAGTGATGCTTTGGTAGCAAGCTGCAAGCCTGCCTTTAGGCTCCCAGGAACCAGTGCTGAGATCTCAGACCTCTGGCCCTTGGAACAGATGTCCTGGCTGTGATTTTTGTCTGTGTTCTGCGCTACTGCGGGCCTTGTCCTGCTCCCTGCAGGCTACCTGGCTATGACCTGGGACTGGCTCTGTTGGTTCGGAACACTTGTTTCTCTCTTTACGTGTAAATTAAGGATTGTCTGTTCTCTGTCGCTTGGTTATGTTTAGTTGTTAGTTCTGGTTGGTTTTGTCTTCTGTATGGTGTTTAGAGACCATGAGGAGAGATTTCAGCCTGAGTGACTGCCATGGTCCTGCAGGAACCCAGAAGTCTGCTTTCATGTTTTTACATCAAGACAATACCTCTCACGAATGCTTGATGTAAAATGAAGTAAGATAGCACTTGCTGAATCACCATTATAGTTTGTGACAAATTGTTCTCAAAAAGGTAAGTTTTCATTTTTTAAAGATAAATTATGTTTGTGATTGAGGAAAGATAAGATGAATGGGGTTAACGATAGGCTGCCTGTTTTTTGGAGCAGGAGAGGAATGTTGAGCTCAGAGTGCTGGTTGTTGAGATTTATTTTTGTTGAAGGGAAGGTTTTAGTAAAGGGAATAGCAGAGAATAAATGGGTCATAGCATCATTCCTCTATGTATCAACTCTGACAACAAACCAAGGGACAGTGTTCATACCTTTGGATATATAGACAACAACATATTGTGAAAAGTCACTTTAGAGCTTTGCTTGATGACTGTAAAGTTATATAACATAGAGTAGACATTACTTGGAAGTATATTTTTTTGCTGACAGTAATATTTCAAATGGTTGTTTTTTTCTTTTCTCTGACTGAATTCAGTAGTATTGGTTGTGCTGTCAAGCTGCACATCCCCAGGAAAGGTGCTTTAAGAGTTACTCTTCTAGTGTGGGTGATTGAGGGCTCTTTAACTAAGGCAGGCCTCCTTGGGCAGCCTTTTCCTTACCCATTTACTTCACTCAGTTTATGTTTTTGCAAAAGAAAGTAGCATCATCATGCAGTGTTATTTATTGATGGTTTGGCCTCAGCTGAAGGCAGGTTACTTTGAGGAAAAGAATGTGTAATTAGTAATATCAGGGTAGGCAGATATTGTCTTAGACGAAGTACTTATACTGTAACAGAAGACTGCTTGTCTTGTCTCAGCACTCCACTCTCACCTTTAACTAGGTACCAGCTGGAAGATGAGTCTGCCCATTTGGATGAGATGCCACTGATGATGTCTGAAGAAGGCTTTGAGAACGATGAGAGTGATTACCACACGCTGCCACAAGCTAGGGTGACGCAGAGAAGAAGCGGACTGGAGTGGTTTGTCTGCGGTGGGTGGAGACTGCTCTGTGCCAGGTTTGTTATCCACTGCTGCCTCATTTCCTCGTGTGCTAGGATTTCTACAGGCTTAGATTCCAATGCAGTAATACTTTTTAGATATGTTGCTACATAGAGATATAAAACACAAGAAGACACTGTACAAGTGATATCATGGAGAGTATTAATAACATTAAGTAAAACCAAACAATGCTAATCTGAAAGGAAGGGAAAACGAAAGTCATTATATTGTATGAGAAATTTTAATGGTTAAATGCTGGAGAAAATTAGTGATTTTATAGTTAATGCATGGTAGAATTAATTCTGGGCACTGTATCAACATTTAGGATGCCCCTTTCTCATCCAAAAAGAAAGATAGGGGCCTATAAAATGCAATTTAATAACACTGTAGTTATGTGTATTATTCACCACCTTTAATGCTTTGACTTGAAATAAAATTCTTCTGTTAATTTAATCAGCAAAATACCAAGACAAGAAGTCCTTATATTTCAAACCAGTTTCCTGGTGGTTGAGATAAATTGGTACGATTCACTTTTTTTTTTTTTTTTTTTTGAGACAGAGTCTCGCTTTGTTGCCCAGGCTAGAGTGAGTGTTGGAGCGTCAGCCTAGCTCACAGCAACCTCAAACTCCTGGGCTCAAGTAATCCTTCTGCCTCAGCCTCCCAAGTAGCTGGGACTACAGGCATGCGCCACCATGCCCGGCTAATTTTTTCTATATATATATTAGTTGTTCAATTAATTTATTTCTATTTATAGTAGAGACGGGGGTCTCGTTCTTGCTCAGGCTGGTTTCAAACTCCTGACCTCGAGCAATCCACCCGCCTCTGCCTCCCAGAGTGCTAAGATTACAGGCGTGAGTCACCGCGCCCAGCCCGATTCACTTTTGACTAGTGTCTGGCACATACACCTGAGATGCCTTGTCTACCACAGGGACAGGCGGGAAGAGGTTCCACCAAGTGATGCCTCAGCACTTGAGCAGAAGATATCAGATAAATTACAGCTTTTACAGCCCTTCTGCTGTTCAAGGTTTATAGTCCATACCTTTGTAGCCATTATGAATTTATATCTTTTTATCCACAAAAGAAAGATAAATGCTTGTTAAAAAGTATCTTGTTCATCATCCTTTTCATTATCCCTTTAGAAGTTTAACGAAAAGATATTTCTGTAACTGATTTGATTTCTGGGTCAGCTGGTGAGGTGGTATGCAAATTGAGTTCTGTGGAGACCCTTTGAAATTAGCAACATGGAATATGGGTATGAGCCTGAGCAAGATTTAGGTTCGTCATTCCCCATTCAGCTTTCAGTTAAAGTAAAGCTGAACTTCTTTATTTACTGTAAGCTTCATCTGAAGAAAGAATTTACTGGCTAAACAATGTTTTAAAAATTGCTGACTTGTGTTATTAATTAATGATACGGGTCTGTGGCTTATTTAAGATATTTTCTGGGTTAAGTAGCCAATATTCCAACATTCCTGGTGTATTCTTTGTGGATACATATTTAATTATGGAATTAATTTTTTAACAGATACAAGACTTCAGACTTTATTTTTTGTCATTTACGATGGTTTGTGTTTTTAAGGGATTTATCTGTTTTCATATTTAAGTGGGTGTAAAGTTTATTTGTAGTATATTCTTGTGATCTAGCTAATGTATGAGATCTATAGTGATGGCACTTCTTAAAAATTCCTGATATTAGTATTTATATATCTTTAAAAATTAATCTTGATAGAACATTATCAGTTTTATTTTTTTCAAAGAGTTAACTTCTGGTATTGTCTTCCTTTCTATTTTCTTTTAAACTTTTATCTTGAAATAAATTCAAATTTATAGGAAAGTTACAAGAACTGTACAGATAACTCTTGTATACCTTTTACTCAGATTCACCAATTTTTTTTTTAACATTTTGACACATTTATTTTATCATTCTTTCTATAGCTTCCTATGACTTTTTAGTCATTTCAGACTAGGTTGATTACTTCATTCCTCTTTATATTGTAATTCTTCAGTATGTATTTATTATGGAAAATATTTGTATTTTCCTTAATTCTGGTCACTGTATCAACATTTACAATGTCCCTTTCTTATCCAAAAAGAAAGATAGGGGCCTATAGAATGCAATTTAATAACACTGTAGTTATGTGTATTATTCACCACCTTTAATGCATTTGTATGTATTTCTTAAGGAAAGTATTTTCTTATATAACTATAGTGCAGTTATCAATTTTACAGGAAATTTAACATTGATACTTTTTATGTCTACTTTATGTTCAGTGTTGTCTATTGTTCCAATAATGTCCTTTGTTTTCTGTGGCACTGGGTGTGGTTATGTGTCACATTTAGGTGGCACGCCTGTTTAGCTGCCTCTAATCTAGAATAGTTTAGTGTTTCTTCCTCTTTCATTCCATTGCCATTTTTGAAGAATAATGACAGTTATTTTATACAATGTTTCAAATTTGTTTTGTTTGATGTTTCCTCAATGCTGGGGTCACCTGTATTCTACCTTTTCCCTTTCTAATAATAGGTGCATTTACATATGGTATTTCATAATCATAACATTCAAAATATTTTCTAACTTCCGTTGTCATTTCTACTTTAATTCACATTTGATTTAGAACTGTATTGCCTAATTTCTAAACACGAGTTTTTCTAGTTATCTTTTTTGTAATTAATTTGTATCTTCCATGGTGGCCAGAGAACATACTTACAATTTTTTTTTTTATTTCAGTCTTTGTAATGTGTTGAGAGACTTGCTTTATGGTTCATAATATGGACAATTTATAGTGAATTTTGTGAATTTGAAAATAATTTGTATTTTTCAGTTGTTGAGCACCTTGTTCTGTATGTCAATGAAGTCATATTTGTTAATTGTTTAGTTCAAATCTTTTGTATCACTATTCATGGTTTGCTTATTTAATTAGTTACTGAGAGACTTCATTAATTTGTAAACATCACTGTGGATATGTCTACTTCCTTTAATTATGCCAATTTTTGCTTTATATATTTTTTAGGGTATGTTAGTAGATGATGCAAATTTAGGATAATTAACTTCCTATTGTATTGACCTTTTATTGTCATTCACTATCCCACTTTATCTCTAATTTCTTCTGTGAAGGCTTATTTGGTCTAACTTCAGTAAAACGGCACCAGCTTTCTTTGATTAGTGTTTGCATGATATGTCATTGTCATCTGTTACCTTTTTTTTAATTTTTAAGAAACTCAATTTTGAAATAATTCTAGATTTACAGGAAATTGCAAAAAATAGTAGTACAGAGAGGTCCCTTGTCCCCTTCCCCCAGTGTCCCCCAATGGGGGACATAGTTGTATATTGTTGTATATTTTAGTTGTATATAGTTGTATTAGTTGTATATAGTTGTATATTTTATACAACTATAGTATAACATCAAACCAGGGCAGTGGCCTTGGTACAGTGTGTGCCTATGGTTCTTTTGTCATGTTTTCACATGACGTCTGTGTAACCACTGCTGTAGCCAAGATGCAGAACTATTCCATCAGCACAGAGAGCTCCCTGTGCTATCCCAGCGGCCATATCCGCTCCCAACCCCCACCCTGACCCTGGCAACCGCTAATCAGTTCTCCATTTTAATTTCAAGAATTAAAATCTCTATTTTAGGCCGGGCGCGGTGGCTCACGCCTGTAATCCTAGCACTTTGGGAGGCCGAGGCGGGCGGATCACTCAAGGTCAGGAGTTCGAAACCAGCCTGAGCGAGACCCCGTCTCTACCAAAAATAGAAAGAAATTAATTGACCAACTAAAAATATATATACAAAAAATTAGCTGGGCATGGTGGCGCATGCCTGTAGTCCCAGCTACTCGGGAGGCTGAGGCAGTAGGATCGCTGAGCCCAGGAGATTGAGGTTGCTGTGAGCCAGGCTGATGCCATGGCACTCACTCTAGCCTGGGCAACAAAGTGAGACTCTGTCTCAAAAAAAAAAAAAAAAAATCTCTATTTTAATTTCAAGAATGTTATGTAACTGAAATTATTCAACATGTAATTTAAAAAACTGTATTTTTATTTTCCATATTGATGTGATGTTTGAATTATGTAATATTTTGAGGTTGGCCTATTTCAGTGAGTATAATGCTTTTTACGCCCATCCAAGGCATTGTGTATCCGTGGTTCCTTTGTATTGCTGACTAGTGTTCCGTGATACGGATGTACCACAGTTGGTTTAATCATTCACCTATTACAGGACATTTAAGTTGTTTCAAGTTTTTGGATATTACAAATAAAGCTGCTATGAACACTTGTGTACAGTTTTTGTGTGTGTGTGAACATAAGTTTTTGTTTCTCTGAAAGAAATGTCCAAAAGTCTGATTGATCATTTGTATGGTAAGTATATGTTTAGTTTTTAAAGAAACTGCCAACCTATTTTCCAGAGGGGCTGTATCATCTTAAATTTGTACAGCAGTGTTTGAGAGATCCAGTTTCTCTTCATCCTTGCCAACATTTGGTTTTGCCACTATTTAGTATTTTAGCTGCTCTATTGTGGTCATAATTTGCATTTTCCTAATGACTAGTGAGGTTGAGGATCTTATTTGTCATTCACAAATCCTCTTTAGTAAATGTCTCTTCTGTTTGTTCTCTTTCTAGTTGAATTGTTTGATTTTTTTCCCTCCCGTTGCGTTTTTAAAAAAATATTTTTAAAGACTAGTCAATTACAGTAGTGAAAATGAGAAAGAATAGAACAAGGAGTTCAATTTGTAACTAACTGAACAGTCTGTTGAGATAACTCGCTACTTGCGGACCAGCCTTTTCCGTTGAGTTTTAAGAGTTCTTTATGTATTCTGCCTATGAGTCCTTTGTCAGGTGCAGTCAGGAAATATTTTCTTCTGGTCTGTATCTTGTCTTCTCATCTGTTTATAGTCTTTGGCAGACTCTGAAAAGTCTTTAATTTTGATGAGGTCCAATTTACTACTTTTGTGGATTGTGCTTTTCATGTCACATCTAAAATTTATACCAAACCCTATGTCTTGAAGATTTTCTTCTAAAAGTTTTACA